GCACAATTCCACTGTAAAAGTCCCATCTTTTTTAAAAACTTATCAATCAAGGAAGGGACAACATTTTCCAGGGTGCAAAGTACGACTATATAACGAGTTAGAACTCTCGAGCTATTTTTAACAGAACACATCACATCGGAGATATTACTTCTTAACGTTTACAGTCATGTATTTTGTTTACTTTCTCCCGTAGACTGGACCCCACCCACTGAGATCAGAGAGAAAAGTTGAACGTGCGTCCCTCAGATTTGAAAGATTGGGCAGTGCGTGGCACGAACACGAGGAAGAGGTAAATGGCTGCGTTTTTATAGCGGCTTATCACGTCAGAACATCTCAAAGTGTGTCTGCCTGGCTCAGTTGGTAGCACTCTTGCCTCGGAGTCATACGTTTGTGGGTTCAAGCCCTCATGTTGGGAATTTGAACTCATAAGGTTTAGACTGACAATCCAACAAAGTGCTGGGTTTGGCGCTGCATTGTTACAAACACCATCTTTCAGATAATGTCCCCAAAATGCTCCAAATAAAATAAAATTGGTCACTCGCTGAGTCGCTGTTGGTGTGTCATTGCTATGCGCAAATTGGCTGCTGTGTTTGCCAATAAAATATGCAGTTACAACACTTCATAGTGTGCCCTGTGCAACACTTCAAGACACCCTCCTGACACGAAAGGCGCTATATCAAATGTAACAATTATTATTATTATTATTATTAATATTATTATAATAAAGTGCTTCACAGGTAATTGATACCAAGTGATTGCTTTGCAGGCAGACACGGGTAGCCACGTGCGGTAAGAACGGCGGACCACAAGCATGATCCACCACTCTGCTGGAGAAGGAAGTCGGATGGAGTATTCAGCGAGCCTCTGGCAGACGGTGGACTGAGAGCAGGCGGCTTGCCTTTCCATTACACGCACAGTAAGTGCCCGGCCTGGGAGCGTGTAGTCAAGAGAGGAGCGGCCTTTCAGAAATCAAGGGGTATCCTCCAGCAGATACAATGGGAGTGTTACATAACATCTCCCTCTCCTATATGTTCTCTCTATCTCTGTCTCTCTCTCTCTCTCTTTCTCTCCCCTTGTGGGGAAGTACAAGCCTCAGTCTTTCTGCGTGTCAGAGCCACACTAAACCCGTCTTGTAAAATCTCACCCAGTAAATCTTACTCGACCTCTCTGTCTTATGTTCACACAGGGCAAGTAACCGGGTACAAAGAGAGAGGAAGAGGGCCATGAATCAAAAGATCTGCACCATCTCCAGGTCTGGACTTGCGGTACAATGACATCATGATTGACAAGATTGCAGCGACACCTCAAAAAATACATATCAACCAACTTATCCCTTCGAACAAAATGAACATTTTGTGTTTTGTTTGGCCGGGAGCTGATTGTCTTGTTCATTGCTGTTAATATCAACGCAGCAAAATGTGGAGACGGAAAGCTTTTCACCTCGAGCAGATTATTAAAACTCTCCGCAGAGGGGAGGTAGCTACCACTCCGATGATTATTAAGAGCTATAAATTAGGCTGTTGTCACTTCAATCTGTTCTCAGCAGACAAGGACAGAGTCCAAAATTCTGCTTGGAATTCACAGATGTCATAAGAGACAGAGCACGAGAAAGGGAAATTATATTCTAGGCCAGTAGGTCTGCTTTTTTTGAGCCTAGGCTTGTAACAACGGCAACAAACTTGCATTTATATAGCGCTCTTAATGGTGGCGGAGCTTGAAGCCGAGCCTGAGGTAGGAGGGAGGGTGGTGGGGGAGGGGGAGGAGGAGGCAAGGCTGAGGGACTGAGGAAGAGAGTTCCATAGTTTCCAGGACACGTGGCTGAAAGCACGGCTGCCAACGGTAGAGCAGAGGGGACGAGGGACATGCAAGAGGCTTAACATTACAGATGGCAACTATAGGCACGGTGTTGAGAATCCTGCATTGGATCTGCGTCTTTGCGTGTAATCCCGTTTAGTAAAACGATGGATTTTACTACTGTTCCTCAACGTTGTCTGAGGGCCGTGGGCAGAACTGTTTTCAACTGGTTGAGGAAACTGTAATGAGCAGGTTGAGATGTAAAGAAGGCTCTGTTGCAGCTATAAAACTGGCCTAAACATGCAATCTCAGTGTCTGCGGCTTCAAAGTTATAATAATAATAATCGTTGAATTTGATATAGCGCTTTTCACGTCTTCTAGACGTCTCAAAGCGCTTCACAGAATATACTGTAAAGTGAATTGACTGTATATTTGTGGGCGAAACGCGGCAGCCAATTGCGCACAGCAACGTCCCACAAGCAGTCGTGGATTGAAGTGATCAATTTATTATTGTTTTGTTTTCCGTGCGACGAGAAAGAACTGAGCTTTTGCTCTTCTGGCCCATTCGGACCAGGAGGGTATTCAATTTCAGATCTTTCCCCTCGTGATGAGCAATGTAATCAAAATCACTGCCAAACTGCACCGATTACTAATTTTGCTGCTGGTTTGCTCCGCTGGCAGAGTTCTCAGAGAAAGGCCTCATTTCAGAAAATAATCCCTCTTATTTCCTGTTAGGTGGTGACTTTTTTCCCTCCCAGCATGAGCTGAAAGGATTCACCCCGAGTACACTAGACGTCCATCTGATACAGGGGTCTGATAAGCAGATAGGGCGCTAAATAGCTTTAACTGTTATCTTATTGTTTCTGGACTGCGTCAGTGATCCAACAGAATTTTTAAATAAAAAAATTGGAAGTCAGATTACCAGATTGTGGGCTGCCTGACATTGGTTGCACCTTGGCACCTTAACTGGATTACAGGACTGGAGATGTGATTTATGAGCATTATTCAACACGCAGTAAAAATGAAGAGGGAAGCAGCTAGTACTGTTAGCAGCAAAGCACGTAACTGTGTTGGTTTGAGGGGAATGGAATAAAGAAAAGGAAGTGGACTACGAATCGATCTTTATGTTGTTCTTTATACCCTACAAATTGTTGATCACACCCTCTCTCTCGGTTTCGCCCACACTATATCCCGGGAAGCGCTTTGAGAAGTCTCAACAATGTGTTAAGGCGCTGTAAGAAATGCAAGGATTATTAGCATACATTTTCAAAATCCTAAAAAAAACACAACTATTCAACTGTGCTTTTGCCACCCCCACCCCCCGTTTGGTGACCCACATTACCCCGTGAAGCACTTTTGATATGTTTTCCTATGCGAAATGCACAATATAGCAGACTGACCCAGTCTTCAGTGTTCTACTTTGCTGAAGGAAGGGAGCAGATACAGGGAACAGGCATTAAAACTATTCACTTTGAAGGCATGAAAGCAATAAAGAAGCAACTGCAAGAAAATAGTTTGCACTGTATCTCTCATCTAAGGTTGCATTGGATTCCGAGATAGGAGGAAGGAACCTGTACATCGGAGTCAAAATCTAACCAGGTTGGCACAAAAATAATGTGCTTGAATTATACATTTCAAATTGGTGCCTGTGCACACCAGACCTCTCTGAGGAATTGGTTTCCAATTTAAATGTGGACTTTATTGGGGGCAGTTAACTCATGACCAGACTTTCCCCTCCAGCAGTAAACATCCTTCACTGCCCAGCCAACACGTACAGTTCTACGCACCATTTATTCCTGGCTTTTTATTAAAAAAGCACAAGGGCTTGTAATATACTGTATGTGCAGAGAGCCAGGAAGTAATGTGTGCACACCAGCACATCGCTTGTCTGACCATTACCAATGAATATGACCAGTGTTGTGATCAAAGTAGCTGCACTCAACCTGCGTGTGTGGATTGGATTGCTGAGCTGGGATTATTACACTGTTCAGCAAAGGCTTGAGCCATCTGATCACAACGTTAATGAAATAGAACAGACTCTTAAGTGTTTTTTTTTCACAAGCAGCTTTTTTAAACGAGTCATTGAAAGGGATTCGACAGTCTCTAAATTATCCAATACAGCATATATAGACTTTTTTTATATATTAAAAAAAAGGGAAAAACACATTTTTGTTAAAGCATTCACAACTGCAGAGACCTTCCAGGGATGAAATGATTGTTTTGGGGATTTGATCAGGATTTCTGCAATAAAAGACATGAACATTTTGGTTTGGAGAACAAACTGCGGATCAACAACCATATTTGTGGATGTTCAGTCTGTGTGGGAGACAGAATTGTCTTGTTTATGTGTAGCGCCTTGGCAGGAAATAAACAGTGAGTTATTGGGCTCAATAAATTATCCCCCCACCCTAGGCGGGAGAGCTTGGCCCTTGGTATCTTATATAACAATAGTGCAAGCAGGAAATGCTCTTATCCTCTCTGGTAGCCACCAGGACATTGAACGGAGAGACTGAGGTCTATCAAGGAATAATTTTAGAACAAAGCACATGTGTTTGGCTCGTTTCCATTCTAACTCTGCAGCCTTCTGCTTCCTTCTCCTAGTTGAACATTTTCCATGTCACCCTCTTGTGTTTTCTGCATCACGCTAAGGAGAAGCATTACATAAGATTCAATGTGAAGATTCTGCAGTTTTATGCAACGTATACACACCAATAGTGTGAATGGATCACTGATTTGGTTCTATGTCTGTGAAGGTGTGGGGGAAGGACAGCATTAAACAGAAACAATGTACTGTAAGTTGTTTTAAGACAAAAATAAAATTTATTTCACAAATTAAATCACAAGAAGGTTTAAAAACACCGTTGAGGCATTTCAAGACAGGTTTATAAATACAAAACCATGTTTAGAAAAAAACTGTAGGATTTCAGTCGTATAAAAGTAGAAAAATCACTACCAGGACAAAAGGAATCATTAGGCTATTACACAACCTGAAATGACTGACTGATAAGGTCAAATTAAAGGTTATAGACTGAAAATACATCAGCAAACAGGATTGAACTGAACACCCGCAGAGAGGGATATCAATAATTCTCAACCAGCAGCAGTTTAGATATATGTATGCAATGTGAGTTTATTGCGCTTTCATAAACATCAGGTCATCAACTTAATAATAATAATCCTTGCATTTGATTTGGCACCTATTACATCTTTGAGATGTCTCAAAGAGCTTTACAGAATATACCTTAAAGTGGGGTGACTGAGTAATTTGTAGGCAAAACGCAGCAGCCAATTGCGCACAGCAGATATCAATCGCATTAAGAATGAGATAAATTGGAAAATGACCAATTTCAATTAAATTCCTCTCTTAAGATCAACGTTTAATGCAGTTTTAATGCCAATAAATTTGAATCCCTGTTTACCTTTTGATTCAAAAATAGATGAACTCCAAACACGTGAGATTTGATTACATTAAATGTGAGGTCTTGAATCTGTACTCGGTAGCTTTCCATTATCGATGCAATTGGATATAACACATTCCCCAAATGTTTTTTTTTAAAAATGCTTGGAAGTGTGGTATAAATAAATGACCTGACTGGCTACAGCCAACAGCATAGCAGGATAAATCTCTATTCACAAAGCTGATTCCATTTTACCGCTGCCGTCTGAGATATTCCCATTCCATAATTGCTCATAAAAGATTGTTGAACCAAAGTAGGAAATTAAAAATAATAATAGTCCTTGTCTGATCACATCTTCAAGATGTCTCCAAGCACTTTACAGAATTTACTGTAAAGTGAAATTGACTGTATATTTTGTGGGCAAAACACGACAGCCATTTGCGCACAGCAGTGTCCCACAAACAGTCGTGGATTACCAAAATGAGGGGAAAAAAAATAACTGAAATGTACCTCAGCTGAAATGAATTATATAATTTCAAAAAGGTCAGAAACTTTTCCCTGAAACTTTCTTGGAAAAAGCTTTAGAGTCATAAATTCTGAATGCTGGGATCCTTTCGATCTCCATCTGAAGCTCGAGGGTGTTCCGTATTTCCAATTACTGTAGATTGTGTTGAGTGGAAAAGAGGAAGCGTTTAAATCTATACACCATCAACACAACCTTTAAATACCCCCTTCACGAGACACGATCTAGAGTTAAGCCTTTAGTTATAATTCTATGGCAAAACTGATTACACAGAAACTAGGCAAATACTTGGTCATTTACTACATTAAAAATTGTATTTACACAGATTTTTTTAATTAGAAAGGAAGGATATAAAAAGCCAAACTAGAGAGTCAGGAATTGAATGTCTAGTTGGTAAATTATACTAAAGGCTTTGTTTTTCAACCTGTACATCCCATTATTTTTTATTCTACCACAATCCAGTATATAGCTCGGAGGAAGCAGGATGTTGAACAAAGCAATTTCCACTGGAACAGCCTCTATCAACTTAGCAGCAGTGGAAGATATTACTGAGACTGAGCCAAGTTGGGAAATTCAAAAGCTGCAAAGGATAAAGAAAACAAGCTAATGATTGAATCAATGGACCAAACTGAATGGACAGCAATATGCTTATAATCTCACACTTCAAATAAATATTAATACAATAATTCTTGCATTTAATATAGCACCTTATCAAGTCTTCGAGACGTCTCAAAGCGCTTCACAGAATATACTGTAAAGTGAATTAACTGTATATTTTGTGGGCGAATCAACATACAATTCCTAGGAACAGTAATCAGTCAATCGTAACATAAAGGTTTCATTTGTCTACAGCTCCCATCTCCACAGTGGAAGCAGTAAACATTGCTAGTTACTCCACCACCTCTGTGGTGAAAGCTGTTCCTGCTGCTTTTGCAAATAGCGGATTGGTTTGCAGCGGAGAAATTGATTTCCAGCCCCTCCACCCCCTTCCCCTAGAGGTAAGAAGCTCAGTGGGCAGGCAGCGGTTTTCCCAATGCAGAACTGGCTGCAATCCAGACTGAAATGATAAAAGTCTACGCGACAGATGAATACTGTTCACCTTCGAGTGAGTGAGTGTGTGTGTGTCTGTGGGGGTGGGGGGGGGAGAGGGGGAGAAAGAGGAGGAAATAACTGTTGTGTAAAACAAAACAGCAGAGCAGTGGATAACTGGCTACTGATTGAAAATCTTACCACAGTACTTTGCATGATTTGAAAACACCAAATATCAGTAGTATCCAATTCAGTTGCTCATTGTTCAGGCTATAACTTGACACTAATTCGTTTCACTGGTTAATTCATTGGTTCACAGCATTCAATGAATCTAAAGTAAACCGCATTCTTACTAATTGCCCTGGTCCACAGTCCAAATGACATTTGCTCCCACCAGTCTCATCACTTTTGCAATAATTTTGCATTTTTTCCTGTATTATAATACTTGCATCTGATATCGGGGCTTATCATGTTGTTAAAACAATTCAAAGAACTTTACGGGATTTTATTGCAAAATGTGGTGACGATTTGTAGACCAACTCAGGCGCTGATTTGCATACAGCAATTCCCACAAACAGACACAAAGTGAATGACTAATTTTATGAGGAACTGCGAGAAACTCCCTTCTATCTTCCAATAAAGTCACGAGATCTTTAACAACCACTTGAACAAACAATACCTTTGTCAAAGCAGCACTCCCTTAGCATTACACTGGAGTGCCAACCTTGTCCATGAGCTCAAAGTCCTGATGTGGGACTTGTGCTGATTCCTCTGCTCATTTTGTTTCCAATTGTTCGGCTCATAAACAATAGTTTAATAAAAGATCAGCTGATGTAGTTTCCTGAATATCTTAAACATAACTGAGAAATTGAGCCACAAAACAGGTTTCGCTGAACACGAATCAAGGAGGAAAGGGTTACTGAAGCCATCTGCAAGTCACTGCTGACACTCCAGCAATTTAAAGCCATTTATTACCAAGACTGCAAATGCCATCAGTAATGACTACAGATCACAAACCCACTGTTCCCTGGAGTATCTGCTAATTTTTTTTCTCTTGCTCTCTCCAATCCGCAGACAAGTGAAAGGGGTTTCAGTGATTTACTGAAAAACAAACCATGGAGCTTCATAACCTCATGAAATAGAAGCTAACGATAGAGAAACACACTCACACGTCCTACTATTATTTATTCATTTTCTTGACAGTGTCAGCGATCTAGGTCACACTATTATTGTTGAACAGCCCAATTGCGTCACTGTGACTTGTGGAGAAAAGTAAAGTCGATAGAACCCCCGCTCCCCCCCCACCCCCACCACCATCAGAAAACCCAGACGTAATGAGAGTGGACATGGTTAAACCAAGGGCAATAAAACCAAAATGCAGATGAACACAGAAGCACAGATTGGAATCGATTACGATCGAAACGCTGAGGAATACACTCAGTCTGTGCGCGTTTTTTTTTCTTCATTTCCCATTATGCTCGGAGCTGCTAAAGTATGCAGACCAGAAAGCGACAAAGCCTTAACATTTTTTTTCGCCTTCCTTACAAATCTCTCTCCTCCCTCCCCCTTCCTTCCTTTGCCACGTATTTATATAACTCATAGAGGTCCACGTTTCATATCCAATGTTGGTGGTGGGGGGGGGGGGGGGGGGGGAGAAGAAGACAGCATTTCTGGGAAGTTAGGACTTCATTTCCATTTGTCTCACTTCATCACCAGATTACAAGCAGAGCGTAATGTCCAAAAACTTCACATACTCGGTTTCACTCCAAGGTGAAGCCTTGGAAATGAAACATCGGAAAAAATATGCACTGGAATTCTCCAACTGCCACATGTGCACACACTTAAAATGGCTAAAAACATTCACCAATTCACTTATTTAGGCTATTGTTGTTATCTGATTCTCTCTCTATATATATTATATATACACACACACACACACACAGTTGCTAACACTGACAACATTTATCTTCTCACAAATGAAATCTCAATCCACACCAAAAAAAAGTTGGCTTTGTTTTAAAAAAAGGTTTATAAACAAAAAAAAGTACAAAAATAAACACTTGTAAGGTTTTTAAATTGAGTAATGCAATTTGTTTAATCTCGGAAGATTTTAATTTGCGATATCGGTCAAAGGGTTGGGAAAGAGCCAATTGCGATTCCCGGTGAAGTCTGTAAAACGTACAATTCCTGAACTTGTGAGAAAAACTCCGGGAGACAGCAAAACGCCACCTCATCCCCGCACGGTTTCACTCCAAGGGAAAATTATAATAATCATAATAATCCTTATTAATTCCTCACAGTTTGGTAGCTTGCTGGAATATTGCACGTTAGACTTTTAGCGGTATTGGTGCTGTTCTTTTGAAGTGCGATGCACTCTTTAAGGCACGTGGTTTACTTTCCCCAACTTATTTGCTTTGATATGCTCTTCTCTGATGGCGATACCCAATAAAGGAATTTGTGCCACGAGGTCCAGCAAAATCCAAGTGTCTTGCTCTTTACCTTTATCTACGGGTGACAGTCAGCAGATTATTTGACTTTAAGCCAAGTTTGAGCCTTGTCTGACCACACAAAAGACATTGTGGAAATATCAGGATATCAAATTAATAACTCACTTATACATCATACCAAGATATGACTAAATACCATCATACCACATGCAAGAAGATTATTTCATAGCAACTTTAAACAGTTAAAAAGCCCATCCTTTCTTTATGTAAAAAAACACACACACACACGGCTAATGTGAAAATGTTGACATATTGCTCTTTTAAAACACTTAAAATTTGTGCCCACACAAATAGGTGGTCTGAAAATAGCTGACTGTAGCTGGGATATTTTTAGCTCCATTTGATCCTGGTTAGCCACGTTGCAAACATCAAAGTAAATGGAACACTTGTCGACACTGGCGATGTGAGGTTGTAGTTAACTTCAGAGTGCGTGTGCGTGCACACGTGTATATACACACACACAAACACACGTACAAACACACACACATACTGTATCGGGAAAAGGAAACACTGTGGAGATAAGATGCTGTTCACACCATCCTGCCTACGTTACTGAAATCGAGTGCATTAATGGGCGTGGTCAATTTTTTAAAAAAAGTTTCGCTTTCTGGAGTTCAAAACATTTGTAATTTTTTCCCTCCCCCTGATCCCTACAACCTGCGCTCCCAGAAACAACCACAGAAATGCTGAGTTTGCCAATAAGGAACAAGGAACGCAGGTTCATCAATTCACTGACTGTGCTCAACTATTGGTCAGCGACACTATCAGCACCTTTTGATTCTTCTCCCTCTTCTGGAGCGTGACACACAGAAGCACCCAGGGTTGGACGTGAAACGTATTGATGGTTCTCAACCAATGTCCACAATGTCTTTTGTGTGGTCAGACAAGGGTCAACCCGATGGAACGGTTAAAATCATCCATAATATCGTTTCCAATAATCCATACCTCTCATTCCACTGCATTTTATGAAATTAATCCTGGCATTGAGTTGACCGAAGTTAAAACAGCGAATGTGATTTGTTTTAGCTTTTAACCCCCCACTAAAATGTCAGTTTTTCTCTTGAATATTCCCGTTAGGAGCTCCTCTGTGCACAAAATACATCAAAGGGCACCAATCTTGAGTATAATTTGAGGATGTGCATCTTTTCCTGTAGTCTGGTCTATAAGCACCGATCCGAATGGCTTTGTATTTTGTCTCCCTGCCCTCATTTTCACCTCAGCTTTAACGACAGAATGAACCACTTTGTCAAACTGATTTTGGATACAGCCTGTACAGCTCTTTCGCTTGAGCAAAGCCTCCGCATTTCAGACAGTCTGCCTGTGAATTTCACTTCTTTGGCGTGAGGAGGCCGAGAGGGGATCCCTGTACGTAAGAAAGGATGGCGTTCTGCAGGAAGCTGGCTCGCTGGGCCTCATCCTCTCGCATTCGCACAATCTCGGAATCTTTTAGGCGGATTTTTTCCAGCAGCGAAGCTAATTCGCTCTCTTTGTCCAGCAGGGCGTCTCGGTGGCTGTTTGACTGAGCTGCAAAACAAAAAGAAAAATTGCAACTTCTAATAATAAGAATAATCCTGGCATTTGATGTAGTGCCTTGTCACGTCATTGAGACGTCTCAAAGCGCTTCACAGGATGTACTGTAAAGTGGATGGACTGTACATTTCGTGGGAGAATTCTGTCACCTTTTGAAAGAAAAACAGCACCAACCAAAATCCAGACTCGAGGTCAGGACTTTCAGTCCTGTATTAATGAGTTATTCCACTAGATATCAATAATAAATAATCCTCTTTTGACATACTGTAGCACCTGATGTGATTGAAACATCTCAACCATCTTGTCAATATTTACTTTAAACTGTAGTGACTATTGGTAGGCGAACGTGTAACCAGTTTACCTACAGTATTATCCCACAAACAGCCATGGAATGAATACCAATTATGTCTCGATGACTGCCGGGCATTGGGAGAAACCCTCAGTAATTCCTGGATACCTTTAATAAGGAGATTTACCCGAATGGTAAATTGAGATCTCAGTTTCCCCTACTTTAAAAACCTAACAACAAACCATTCTCATTGTGAAGTTGACGTTTTATTCCTTATTTTGTAGAGTTAAACTCAATCCAATCTAACACTAAATACTTCAAAATAGAGTCAAGTGCTCTGGGACTCTACCCCGTGTGAAGGGCGTGATATAAATACAAGTTGTCGTTGTTGTAATAGGTTTAAGTGCCCTTTAAGGGGTAACCCACAAGTACACAGCGAGCCCGTCTGCTTTGCAAGGGTTTACCATTGATGGGGATCTCTAGCTGCATTTATGGCCGGTTTCCACAGATTCACATACCCTTTAGCTGCCTCTCCAAGGTGGAAATTTTCTCCTTGAACCCTTCCTGGGTTGCTCTCTCTGCTTGCAAATGGCCAATTTGTTCCTGAAGTTCCACTCGTACCTTATTCACCTCAGTGACCTTCTCCTGATCCTTGCCAGACATCTCCTTGCAGTGACAAATACAGGAAAGTGAGAGCGTTAACATTGATAAAAGGTTTCATTTTCACTGAAGGCAAGCAAATTAACACGCTGAAAAAAAATTCTACTAAATCCCCAGATGTTAGTTAATACGATTCACAGAAAAACAAACAAATCTGCAGCAGTTTAAAAAGACGGCATTAAAGTCCATTTCCATTGCACAGACTCTTAATTAGCCGATGGTCTCAGAGCTACAGAAGTTTTTTTTTGTCGTACCTGAAATAATTCGTCGATACGATGCTTCAAGCCTTCGACCTCAAACGTTAACTTGTTGTTCTTTGCTTGTAACTCGCTGATGGTTTGTTTCTGTTGAGTACAATGATTCTGAGACTCATCACGGGATTGAGTGAGGAGGCGAAGCTTCTCTTCCAGGTGGCTCAATCTCTGTTGCTAACAGAGCGGAGGACACAAAATCAGCCTAGCAACTGCAATCTACACTTGTACAGCGTCATTCGTAATAATACTTGCATTTGATACAGCGACTCATCGCGTCGCTGAGACGTCTCAAAGTGCTTTACAGAATATACTGTAAAGTGTAGTGACGTTTTATTTTGGGGGCAAAATGCAGCAGCCAATTGTGCACAACAGTGTCCTGTAAACAGTCGTGGATTGAGGGACCACATTATTATTATTTTTTTGGAGTGATTATTACCCCCGAAAAGTGATCCGCCAATCGACTGACCACCGGATTCCTACTTACTGCAAGGTAAACAGAGGCGTGTAGGAGAACATCACAAACCACTTTAAAGGGATGGTGCGGGAACCTGGGCTAGGTGGAAGAAAGGGGTGGGTGGGGCGGGGGGGGAAAGAGAAGGGGACAATATTTGGTTCCAGCAAAAGACTTTGGGGGTTTTGAAACTATAAACCAATGGTCAACAGTCTCTTTGATCGGCTGACAAAATTAAATTGTCTTGATTTATGGCGTAATACAAAAAACCTGGAAAAACACTGCAGATCAAACACAGACTAGTGTAAATATTTGGGAGGGGGATTGTGACTTCTTGGCAGCCCCACGGGCCATAGTTTGGCCTGCACTGTCTTAACTCATTCGTCTGCGAGTATTATAGGTCTTGCTGAAATTGTACAACTCCACTTATTTAATTTCCTCCACACCCCCCCTCCCCCCCCATCCTATATGCAATTCATTCAGAAAACTTGGCGCTTTTTAAAAAAAAAATAATAAAGCCTACATGGAAGTACAATACAAAGATATTGGTTTTATATATATTATTACAATAAAAATCTCATTTGAAATTCATTTTGCTGCAGGCAAGTGTTGCCTGTACCCTCCCCCCTCAACCTCATTCGGTTTCATGCAACTTGGTGACTCTACGAGTTGCAAAATTCTGAAGCAAAGATAAACAGGCCATGCGAAATATCCGCCAGCGCGGTGAGAGCTATTTGCTCAGTGAGAGGTTTAATCACATCATCGTTTCAGACAGAACGGGCCCTGGGGTGGGCGTCAGCTTCCTTGACACAAATGGGTAAAGTTAGGACTCACAGCCTTGTCACAAGTCATCAGAAACGAGATGGATTTATATCAGCAGTGTTCCTGTAATATTGATCGAGTGTCCTGGTGGGGCGAAACCCAGCCACTTACGCCACTGGGCAAATTCCATATTGACTGGAATGGCAGTACTGAACATGTGCAAACTTGCAATGATTTCTTAATGACTTGGGTGGGAGGAGAATACAAATATGGGAGGGTGTTAAAAACAAAACACAAACTTGGGAGCTGAGAAATTCAATCCAATGCTGGTCAGTGATGAGACGAGTAGCAAAATTCACATTGGTGCATAAACTGCCTTTAAAACCAGCAAAACAAAAAGCGCCATCTCTTCAAATGGATCTCAACGCTTCCAGAAGCATCGCTACGAGAGTTTACTGTACGTGCCACCGATATATCCGAACGATGCAAAGCCAGCCATACAGATCCGTCTGCAGAGAGCTGATTAAAAATGGCACTATATAATTTTATGCTGCATCTCTTTTTTCAGAATTAATTATTTCAGAAATAAGCAGGATGTGGCCCTCCTGGGAGAGAGTGCGCATTTCCATTCCAGTAAGTATCTTGGGAATTTTCACATGCGTGGAACTCTTGGTCTGGTTTGGATAGCCTTAAGCACGGTGAAGGGTTCCCGCATGTGTCAAGACACCGGCTGACCAAAAAACAAAACAATTTAGTCCAAAAAAAATCACACCCCTTCTAAAATCACAGCATATTTAAAATTAAGGAAGCAAGTGACACTTAGCAATGCATTTTACTCACAACTTGTATTTTTGGCAGCTGATTTTTAAAAAAAATAAAAATAAAATCCAAGTAAGTCCAGGGATGGGTCATTATTCATGGCTTCTAAATATAAAGTCACCACAAGAACAAAACGGCCACCAATTATAGATTTTGACGAGCTGTCTGGCGAACCATCTTGCAGACCTCAGTTGAATTAAAGAAAGTTTTAAGGGTTCCGAGACCAGCCTCCAGGATTCATTTTCCCCATTTGAATTACCTCTTCCAATCGCACTTGGCTTCTCACTTTCATAAGCTCCTCCTCAGCTTTGGCTCGCTCAGTTATAGATACTGACTTTACTCGGCTTAGCTCCTGACATAGAAACAAATGTAAATGACCACAAATGCATTTGCAGTAATAATAATAGTAATCCTTGCATTTGATATAGCACCTTATCAGGTCTTCGAGATGTCTCAAAGCGCTTCACCGAGTACGTTGTAAAGCGAATTGACTGCATATATTTTGTGGGCATACGTTAGTTGCATGCTTGGACAACTATTATATATTTATGTATAAACACATAATTAAATATTGACAGCATGATGACCCTGGTTTAATAGTGACAAGTTAAACCAGGGTCAGATTATCAGGAGTTTACTGTAACTGTCTGCTCATCTCATGGTCTCTTGGTGCAGATTGTTGGTGCAGATTAGCTGCTGCGTTTGACCATTTAACATTAATTTCCAATGAATTAAATTTTTGAAAGACACTACGACGGGAGGCATTTATGTTTACTTGAAGCACGGTATACAAATGCGTTCAGTGTTTGATTTATTTTCAAAATGTAATTTTTAAAACCATTCAACGTTATTTCAATTCCTTCATTACTTAGCGGACTTTCAGTATTGCAGTAAAACGCTTAAGAGCAATCAGTGACCCAGGAACCACAGCATTCCACGGAAGACTTGGTGCTTTGTAGATTAAAGAGACAATCGACCCCAAATCCCAATTGGGTTGAGATTGTTATGAATCCGTCTCATTTCCCTACTAATGAAGTGAGGTATTTGTGCTGTGGACACACGTCCTTCGGGAATTGTGTTAAGACCTAAACTCATTTAAATTGGGGTGGGGGGGGGGTGAGGAAAAATCAGATAAAGATACTTGGTTTGCACATCCGGAATACATCAGAATCCAAGCAGCCAAGGCACAAAATGATCCAGCACAACACTTAGCTACCCAAATTGCTAGAGTAATCTGTAGCTTTTTGCTGGCCGCTTTTGCAAAGCCACAGGCAGTAAATGGAACCGTCAGATCTACTTCATAGATATACGGTTTACGCATTTCCGAATCCCCACTGACGCTCTCTCACCTCTTCCAGCTGAGTTCGAATGCTCTCAAGCTTCTGATTTCTGTCCTGCATTAACCACTCACTTTCTTCCATCTGACGGTTCATGCGATCCACCTAGTCAGAGAGAATTTTTTTTTTTTTTTTTAAAAAAGCCCCTGAACAGAATCCAGGCCAAATATTGCCCAAAAAAAGCTGCAAACCCACTCTTTAGAAGGTCATTCAAAATTCAGACATTTTTTTTCCTGGATGCTGGTACCCTTATGAACTGGCATAAAATTGTCTACTTGAATACAGACATTTTAACAACATTTAAATATCTCCATCAGAATTATAGCAATTTATTAAACTACACACTAAATAAACACGGACCGACAATGATCAGTAACTTTGTGAGTGCAATACACAGATACTCTAACTTTTAAAAGTATTAACACAATGTACTTTTTGCCTATTTCCATTGGAGGGTGGGGGTGGGGGGGAGGGGGGGAAACATGCAAGTCAAGTCAACATGTTCATCTTTATCAGGTCAGTAACAGAAGTTGAATCTGTACAAAAATAATTAGTGGTATAGTAGAAGATACCCACCGAGGCTATGCTGCGGAGATTTACATGTTTAAGCATCTTGCAAAACTCTTTCTCCCCCCCCCCCCCCGTTTAATAACAGTGCCAGCAGTCAGCACAATCCTCTGATGCCCATTTGTACACTGCTCCAGAAGTGCGCAATAGCAAAAGCCCACATTACCTCTTTCTGACGCAGGGCCATTGCATCATCCAGTACTTGTTTGGACCTCTTCTTCTCCATCTCTATGCGTTCTGAGCTCAAAAAAATCATAAGCAGTTTGCATTCATCACTTGTTGAACTTAGAATACCGTGCATGCATTTCACCCACAAATACACAGTCACTCCACTTTACGCTATACTCTGTGAAGCGCTTTGAGACCTCTCAATAACATAAGACGCCATATCAATGCAAGGATTATTATAATTAATACGGGTCCAATCACTGGACCTGTGTCTGGCCAGAAAATTCTGTGAAGCTCTTTGAGACGTCTAGAAGACGTGATAAGGCACTATAACAAATGCAAGGATTATTATTATTAGTGCTTGTATGTTTGCTCAAATAACTCCTGTACTATCATTGCTCATCAAGTGATCCTGATTTTTCCCTTCCATCGACAAATGAACAGAACTTTTCTCCAGTTTGTGTCTTATTAGGCAAAACCCCATGAGAGATGAACTCCAAAATGAAAACAAAATGCTTTTCTTTTAGCTTACTAAAGAGAGGTCATTCCCATTGTTATACAACCATCTTGGGACATATAATCAATTAAACTTGACAAGACATAGTGGAATAGGGAATTAGACTGACAGACACTTTGCGTTGGCACGAAAATTTAATGCAACGTTGGTTACAATTTAATTAGATTATGCAGCTTGGTTTATTCAGTCTGAAATTTAAAATTTCACCCCTCCACCCCATCCGCTTCCAAACCCCAGCTCAGGTGCCCAGCCTGCAGTGTTAATCGCTTTGAGACATCCTTCGGATATGAAAGACGCTACTTAATACATGAACAACATATTGCAATTGAATATATGCAAACCCTTTACAGAAATGAGGCTTTTTACACTTTTATGAATGCTCTACTCTATTAATAGGCACAGTGCTCATTGTTTATAATTTTTAAAGCAAAGCACATGCAATTGGCACTAAACAATCAAGCGTTCCACCTCCAAACCCGGTCTGCCAAAATCTGCCATTCATTACGTAAAGTTGCGCAATTATGACTAATTGGTCTGCATCCTTATAAACTGTGATTGTATCCCAGATTGCATTATACTTGCTAATAACCTGACTGCTATTTGCTTGCCAAATGAATTGTGTTAACTCATAAGTAGCAAAATGTCCGTAGCTGTGCAAAATTTCACATCAATTGCATATTTGGAGTTGAGTTATGAGTAGGGGTAAAATGAAAAAAAATTGCATCTACATACTGTAATTTCTTTGGGGGTGTTTGCCGTTTAACTGCACACATTCCAATATTTCCTACACTTAAGATTTTCCAGGGGGTAATAATCCCTTAAATAAGATAATAATTTGGGCACTCAATCCACCACTGTTTGTGGGACGGCGCTGTGTGCAATTGGCTGCCGCATTTCGTCCACAAAATATACAGTTAATTCACTTTACAGTAGTCTGAGTGAAACGCTTTTGAGACGTCGCAAAGACATGATCAAATGCAAGGATTATTATTATTACTACTGAGCACCCAATGACCAGTAGGTGGCAGGTTTGAACAGCATCCATAACATGATGGACATTTTCCTTTACACTCAAGAACAATTTACAATAAGATCTCAGGTTGATTTGCTCAGAATTCTCCGATGCGATTGATTGATTGATTGATTATTTAGTGCATATTGCTGAGGTGATGTGATTACCCTCGGTCTGTGCTATTCTCATCTTCAGCTCAGCAGTTACAATGGTCATCTCCTGTTTCAGCTCAAAGATCTGATCTTGTTGGACCTTACACTTTCGCTCCAGCTCATCCACCTGTTAGATCAAAGTAGAAAAGATAGAGTGCATCAGACGCGGGTAAAGGGTCAGTATTATTCTCAGAATTAAAAGACTGCATAACCTACTACCTTCTTGAAGTGAGCTCCAAGTTCTTAAATAAATAATAATAATAATAATTTGGTCACTCAATCCACGTGGGGACGCTGCTGTGCGCATTTGGCTCCCGTGTTTCGCCCACAAATACACAGTCAATTCACTTCACAGTATATTCTGCGAAGTGATTTGAGACGTCTCGAAGACGCGATTAGATGCTATATCAAATGCAAGGATTACTATTATTATTAACACTCCACTTGAGATGGCACGGTTTGTAAACTTGCTTGATTGATAATAATCGGCGAATATGCATTGGTTGAGGTGCCATACTTTGCTTTTCAGTTGTAGGTTTTTCTCGTTCGCTGTGTTCAGCTCCTTGATCAGCTTTGCTTCTCGAAGAGCCATTTCCTGACAAAAAAACAGACACGTTTTAAGCATGTAAATCCATGAAAAAAAATCGACCGATTTAACCACGTTATGTGACCGCGACTGGCACCAAATGCATATTTTAAAAAAACTGCCACTTTAGTTTGCAAAGTGAATAACTTGATGTATTGAACCAATATAGACGGCCAGGATTGCACTGAATGCCACCCCCAACTTGCTCACCTTCCAACCCAGGCTTAAGCACAAAGAAAGACAAGGACCATGGAACTGGGTAAATGAGTATGTTTCGCCCACAAAATATACAGTCAATTCACTTTACAGTATATTCCGTGAAGCACTTTGAGACGTCTTGAAGACGTGATAAGGCGCTATATCAAATGCAAGGATTATTATCATCATCATCATCCTCCTCACAGTATGTTTTATCAAAAGATAAGTTAACATACGTATTTCAAAATAGTCCGAGTTTAAGAAAACAAGTCCATAGTTTTTTTTTAAAAAATTGAATCACCCATTCTGGTCGTTAATTAGTGCTATTTTCCTCCCTACATACACATGTGTCAAATCAAGGCACTGGACTCGTGGGGAACTGGACTGTACTGCGTCCCAACAATTCTACTTTCCCAGTCGCAGGTTACTAAAAGTTTTTGAAAAGCTTTACATATATGTCAGAACATTACCTCTTGTTCTTTCTTGAGGTCCTTTGTGTGCCTTTCTTTCAACTCAAATTTCTCCGCTTTCATCTTGTTCAGAAACTCCTTCAGGTCATTTGATTTTTGCTCCGATAGTGTTAAAGCAGCCTCTGTCATCTGCACTCTGGAAGGCAGCGAGATGCGAGGTTTTGAACAGAAAAGCAACCCAAAGTCTGCCCCACTGAAGCAGGTAACCTTTACAGCTAGCCTAGTGACACAGCATTTAAAAAGCAGGACTATTCGCAACCCACAACACTATTCAATCAACCTTCTCCCCCGAAAGATAAGTCACAATTATTACTTACTTTGCTCGCAAAGAGTTAACAATAGAGGTCCTCTCATTCAAGGCTTCCTGCAACTGTCCAACACGCATTGCAGAAGTCCTAAAGGAGAAAGGTAGAGATTGATTTTAGGACTAGCACAAAAATTTACTTTGGGGAAGACACATCCTTACAGTACATTCACCGAAAGATAAGTTAAAGTAGGTTTTACAGTCTCCTTAATGTTTGAATGAAGAGGCTTGATGCTGCATTTCAATGCACCACTAAGCAAGGATGGTGCATCACACAACTTTCCAACAATTTTGGTGACATTACTCGTCAAAAATAGTTTAAAGCTAACTTTAAGAACAATCCTCTGCCTCCAAAAGATACATGGCTTATTCATCGCCTCACAATCAATAATAATAATAATCCTTGCAATTGATATAGGGCCTCTTCATGTCTTCGAGACGTTTCAAAGCGCTTCACAGAATATACTGTAAAGTGAATTGACTGCATAAATTGTAATCAAAGAGTAAAAACAACACTTGCTACTGATACATCACTGACCTGTTGCTTCTTGTCAGTTCATCCTTTTGCTGATCAATTGCATCCATCATTTCCAAGTACTAGGAATAGTTTAAAAGGGGAGAGGAACAACAATCACAAGTTTAGTGAAAAAGCATTTAACAGGCCGCCAACAGTGCACAAGATTGCCACTAGAAGGTGCACAGCACAACTGATAATTTTCCTGCCAAGTTTGTTCTTTGTTTTGAACAGATTCTCCGAGGTTTAATTCCTGCGGGTCAAGGTTCCAACTAATTGCTTGATTAAAAAAAATTAATGTTTCGATTGTCAGGACTCTCACAAGCTCGGATTTCAGACAGCGAAAAGAATACTTCACTTCAGCCTTTCCGCAACTATTTCAACTGGGCAGCAGACATAACTATTTGTAATTAATTTCTCCAACGAATGTTAGATGACTAATTAGGCGTTGGTTGTATAATTCCTTTTTAAATCTCCCCTACCCAATTTATTGCATGCAAGATGATGGGATCCCCTTTGATGCACTGCTGTGCACAATTGGCTGCGTGTTTTGCTCAGAAAATACAAGCAATTCACTTTACAATATATCCTGTGAAGCGCTTTGAGACGTCCGAATGACCCGATAAGATGCTTCATCAAATGCAAGGATTATCAGTATTATTAATAATAACAGGGAGATGTGAATTTGGAGAGAAAGGAAACTAGATTTTGACTAGATTGGTTATTTATAGGTAACTTATTCCAGAAATTAAAATGAGTATTAAACATGCTCATCTCCTGTAGGTTTACAAAATCGAGTTGGGATTTTAATTTCAGTAATTTACAAAAGTCCCACTCCAATGCACTGGCTTTACAGACACTTTAAAATCACAATACTAGGCATAACTTTATTTTGGCATAAATAGCTTGCTGATTGTTATAGTTGGTCATTACAACAGGAGTTCATAAAGGAGCCAATTATTTGACAGACTCAGTGTGTATTTCCATAGAATTCAAAGGAACATATTGGTCAGGTGATATAAATAAAGTAGAAGTGTAGCATAGCGTTCATTCTATCTGTGACCTTGATATTCTATTCATGGTACTTCCTCAGTCACTGAGTAAATTACATGCTAATTTCTTTTTCGATGTGTAGAATCCATTATACGCACAATGCAAACCTAGATTTAAATGCATTAGCCATCAATTCACAGCTAAGCATTAATGTTTAATACAACATTCATAAGAGTTTGTATATACTGCGCTAACCCACTCATGAATGTCTAACTACCCTCCCATTAACACATACTCAATGTTCTCTCAGTCACATCAACCAACTTCAAACCATCCACAAACGACAGAGGTCAGCCGCCACACCTGGCACTAGCAGAATTGGCTTGATTTAAGACGGCCACTTGACTTAGACTGATGACCCCACTTAGCTCTCAATTTACCTGCTTGTTCTTTTCTGTCTTCAGAAAATGGACCTCATTGCTGAGGATCTTGGTCCTGCACCTGTTCTCTTTGAGCGTTGCCTGTCTGTCTGAATTATGATCGACTGCCTGGTCTGTTAGTTCACAGAAACATAGTTGAGTAACATTGTTGTATATACAGGCAATTCACTTCACAATGTATTCTGCAAAGCATTTTGAGACGTCTTAATGATATGTTAATAATCCTTGCATTTGATATAGCGCCTTATCGCGTCTTCCAGATGTCTCAAAGCACTTCACACATATCCTGTAAAATGAACTGACTGTATATTTTGTGGGCATAATTACATGTTAATTTTTTCTTCACTGTGTAGACAACATTATACACACAGTACAAACCAAAGGTGCTATATCAAATGCAAGGATTATTATTAAGGAATATTATTATTAGGGATGTAAAATTTACAGTCAAAGATTTCAGGAGAACGGGCATGAACCTGTCTGATGACAAATAGTAAGATTAGAGTAGTGCAACAAATATTGTCCCGTCATTGAAATGGATCTGGGTTCAAGTTCACCTCAAACTGTACAGTTCCCTTGAGAATCTATGGTGAAATCTAATGCTGTATTGAGAGCTTCTGCAGATTTACATTGTGCTAATTAAAGGATTAAATTGGAACATTAGTACCTCAGTCTCTGCTTTGAGACTGAAGGCAAGTCACTGCAGATCACTAACAATTAAATATCAAGTAATTTCGATAAGCAATTTTTATTTTTATTTTTCCACCCGAGTGAATGATTACTCTCTGGGATACAATTAAAAAAACGCTCTGTTGGATAGAATTTATATTAAACATCAGGAATAAAATCCATTTCTCTTCCTCACCCACGGCTTTCAAGATGTCACTGGGGATGTTGTTGCCAGCCAGCTCCAGACGCACAAGGGACTTGTTTTGCTGTAGTGCACTCAGTAATGCCCGTCCACCTAACAGGCCAATGTTGTTCCAGCGAAGGTCTACAAAAGCCAAACAAAATAACAACAATAATAAGACTTGCATTTGATATAGCGCCTTATCGCATTGTTGAGATGCCTCAAAGTGCTTCGCAGAATATACTGCAATGTGGACTGATTGTATACTTTGTGGGCGAAACGATCGTGCACAGTAGTGTCCCACGAACAGTCGTGGATTGAGTGACCAAATCATTATTTTATTTGTTTCTTTTTTTTTTAAACCCCAGAAGGCAACCCGCGAGCCGACTAACAGCCGGGTTCCTACTTACTGCTAGGTAAACAGGTGTGTGGAGTAAGAAAACTTGCCGAAGGTTTCGCGCTGCCCGGGAATCGAACCAGGGCCCTCTCACTTGCGAGAAGAATATAGGAATGATCAGGAAAGTGGATTGGAGGCCTTAATATTATCATATTATCCTAGTCTTTGGAAAAGTCCTACAATGTCTATGCCATTCCCCCAAGTCACACTTACCAAGTTCCTCCAAAGTATCATTGTTCTTCAAGGCCAACGCTAGTTCTCCTGCCCCCTGGTGGTTGATCTGGTTATTACGCAGATCGAGACGCTGAAGGACTTTATTGGCTCTCACTCCCTCGCAGAATATGGAGAATCCTTCTTCCCACATTCCAAGAGCGTTCCACTCCAATATCAAACTGGAAGGAACCCAATCAGTATTACTTTAGCCGAGATAGCTTCAGTAGCAATTGTAATTTAAATGGAACAAAGATGACACGCCACGGAGAAGAATTCCCAGGCAAGCATTAGGCTAAACCAATCTCTCCTCGACGAGATAAAAATCTGTGTCGCAAATGAAATATCCATCCCACTTTACAATGCTCCTCGACATGCAGCTATTTATTCCACACACTGGGGAAGCAACTGAAATTATAAGGCAGGGACAAAGCGATATTTTGAACGGTTTCTCTGAAATCATTGGAAATTTCCCCTTCCACAGTGTGAACATTTCCATGTGATCCAAACGTGATATAGAATACGAGATCATGTTGTGCAATGAAAAGTAAAGCCCGATGGCACACATTTCCTAATATGTGTTGATTATCTATAGACAACCGAGGCTTAATTGGATGAGATGATTGAAAATGTTCTGTGTCAAGAGGGAAAAGGGGAGGAGAGCCCTTTACCAGACATGAATTGGGCCGATCAGAAAACAAACAGCAGGAAATGACTTGTTCACTTTCTGTCACCTTCACATGTACAATTTAAAAGCCATCTGTTCAGCTGTTTGAATGGAGGAGCCATGTTCTTACCTCTTGAGAGATTTGTTGTGTCTCAGCAGTTTTCCCAGTGCCTCAGCTCCAGCTGCTCGCAAGTTATTACCCTTAGACATGAAACAGAATGAAGCTGCAAGCTGAACACTAGACAGCACGATTACAACACAGGAGTATACAGTAAATATAATCTGCAACATTACAGAAAGGATAAGCAGATTCAACCACTCTCTTTTTTTCCACAATTACCAATGTAACATAGCTTAATCATGTTGCTCAAAGGGGCAAGTGAAGCCTTGTTCTTGCCCTTACAAGACTATCTAAACTAAAAGGTCTAAAATTAAACTAACCAGTTCTGATGGAAGGTCATTGACCAGAAACACAAACTCACTTTCCTCTCTGCATAGATGCTGCCTGACCTGCTGTGGGTTTCCAGCAACTTCTGTTTTTACTAACTAAAGTTGTTTTTTTTAATGTGTACGATTATTTTTCTTATTTCCTCCCCACTGGTACGTGTTTCTCTGCTATACATACCTTTATGTCTAAGGTTTTAACAGTGGAGTTGGAGCACAGTCCACGTAGCAATAGTTTGGCACCTAAAAGAAAACAGTTAAGGTTTTATATAGAAATACTTATCAATCTGTAAAGTATCTATCCATTGCATCTGTTAGATTATATATCAGCTGACGTTTACACTTCACAAATCTAATCAAAAGCCACCAGGAGAAACGTGTTTCTCTTTTCAAATAGCATCTTATAATAATAATAATCCTTGCATTTGGTGTAACGCTTTTCACGTCTTCTCGATGTCTCAAAGTGCTTCACAGCATAGACTGTAAAGTGAATTGACCGTATATTTGTGGATGAAAGAAAATGTCTTCGGATGTTTAACAACCTGGCAAATGGAACCTCTTTTTAAAGAAGATTGGGACCTCCAAGAATGCAATGCTCCTTAACATTACATCAGTGGCTTTTGTCCACCTTACCCCGGAGAACAAAGGACACATAACGCTCCTCTAATACTGCCCTGGCCGAGATAATCAAACTTGAGATCTGCTGGATGTTTGTGGCTCGATTTCGTTCTGGAGAGTGACTTTACCAACCAAGCCATTCGGAAAACCTCCTTTCTTGTTCGTCCTGTCTTTTTTAAAAAAAAATCTACCTCTCGTTTCCTCCCCGATGACAATTCTAAATACAGCAATACTATAAATTCTGTGAAGCGCTTTGAGACGTCTCAACAACATGATAAGGTGCTATATCAAATGCAAGGATTGTTATTATTTACCTTCCTCGTTCAGCATGCAGTCGCAAAGCATGATCTCGGTGAATACCCCGTCATTCAGTAAAACCTTCCCCAGCACAGCACACGTGTCGACGGAGAGAGATTGCGTGGCGAGATCCAGCCTGGGCATCGGGCTCCCATCTCGAACATTATGCATCTGGTTCAGAACAGACTCTTGCGGTTCAATGTTACTCTCTTTGCAAAGGCGAAGGTACCCTCTCTTCAAATCATCCATCCTTGACTTTTACAGCTCACTTAAGCTGTCTGCCGTTACTCAACTTTTTCTGTATTAAAAACAAAACGACAAAATGTTGGGAGGCGTTTCCTGGTGAGGGACGAGTTCAAGGGCAAAAGCGTGAAGCGGCAGAGATGGCTTCAGTTGCCAATCATCATCCCGCAATCTCCAATTTACTAATGAATACACCAATTTCCACCCGTTTGCCTCATTTCCCACAGTAACACACTCCACATCAGAAAAAGGGGATCTGATCACGTTGATATTCCCAGCACTGAACTGATTCCCATCACTCAACATTTGACAAGATTGGCAAATTGCACCTATACTCACCCAAAATATTAATAACAGGACAACATATTGTGTGTGTGTGTGTGTGAATGAAGATGCACACAGGAATGAGGGCAAGTGGAGTTTGGGTAAATCATGTTCAGTAAGAGAGTGTAGGCCATTTGCAAGCCTTCGGGATTTGAAAGGAAAATTGCAATACAATTTATATTTATATTGTACCTTCCACATCGGGAGGCACTCGGTGGGTTATCAAGAGAGCGGGCGTTGCTGTGACTTTACCTGTGCCAAAAATAAATAAATAACTACAAACAAACGTCCGTTAGGACTGAATGGGATGAAGTGAAAGATTTCCCCCCCCCCCACCACCTCCACCCCCATTTACTTCAACAGTCAAGACACCGGAAAGGGAGACCGTGGACGCTCTCTGGTGTTTGGCGGGGACCAGGCGTCACCAGCAGATGAATAGCACGAGTTAACAACAGAAGAAAAGTGAACCAAACGCAAGTAACAGAGCCAAGCAACCGGTGTAAATAAGTATTGATAGCCGCCCACCCCCGGAGCAAGACTGAGTCTGGGGGAGGAGCAAGACTGAGTCAGGGGGAGCAAGACTGAGTCAGGGGGAGCAAGACTGAGTCAGGGGGAGCAAGGCTGAGTCAGGGGGGGGAGCAACACTGAGTCAGGGGGGAGCAAGGCTGAGTCGGGGGGGGAGCAAGGCTGAGTCAGGGGGAGCAACACTGAGTCAGGGGGAGCAACACTGAGTCAGGGGGAGCAAGACTGAGTCGGGGACCCAGTCTCCATCACTCCCCCGAGTCAGTCAAGACAGTCACTGCGGGGGTTAGAGTTAGAGCCTCTGACTGAGTCCCTTCACTTACCACTGTTCCCGTTGCTGCTGTTGCGAGTTACCGGGTTCTTTTGGTCAAGTTTGCCGAGGAGAGGGGGGGTGAGGGGAGAGGGGGGGGTGAGGGGAGAGGGGGGGTGAGGGGAGAGGGGGGGGTGAGGGGAGAGGGGGGGGGGTGAGGGGGGGGGAGGGGCTGTGTGCCTGGGAGAGGAAGAGGGTGAGTGAGTGGGGGGGGGGGGGGGGGTGAGCCTGACCCTGTGTGTGAGGCTGAGAGCAGTCAATGCCTCAGACACTCTCTCTTCCTGTAATGTATCCAAACCCTCAGTGGCGACATTGTATCCCTCTCCACTCTCTCTCTCTCTCAGGGGCTACATTGTATCCAAGGCAGCGGGGCAACTCGCTGGGTCATGTGATTTCCTCCCCCCCGAAGCGCTCTGGGAGTTGTAGTTCTCCGCCTCCCTCCCCCCCCCAGGCGGCTGCGCGCGGCTCCCGGACAGTCCCACCCCCTCCCCGTGAACTACAGCTCCCGGCATGCACCGCACCGCACAGCCAGTCATTTCAGCCACCAGGTTACTTAAAGGGGCAGTGAGCCAAGCACCAACACCCCCTACACCACTCCCCCTCAGCCACCCCCCCCACCTCCACCCTCCCCACCTCCACCCCCCCACCTCCACCCCCCACCTCCACCCCCCCACCCCCCCCACCTCCACCCCCCCACCTCCACCCCCACCACCTCCACCCCACTCTGATAAATATCCTATGTTAAATAAAAAGTATGACTACAAGGTGGTATGCTTCACTATTATTTTATTGAGAAACCTGAGTGAAGGATCAAGATCCATAAATGATTCAAGGTTGAAACCTGTGGGAGAGGGGGAGATAAATCAAGTAGTAATACAACAGAACAATGAAAAGAAAAACAGACATATCCATATATCACTGAGTAACAGTGACATGCAAAGCTAACATAGAAACAAGATTGCATCATTCACACAATGCTAACATACACCCTGCACACTGGACTTTATATCACCCAGTAACAGGTGACCATAAATAAGGTGTAGCTGACAACGAGATTAAATCATTCTCACAAAACCAGCATAAACCTCAGATATCGGACTATTTTCTGCACGATTTAAATCCTCAGACAGATTGCTGCTGAGTTGAAAAGCTGACACAGGAACACTGAGCAAGCTGCATTTTTATTATGTTAGTGCTGCCCAGCGATGAAGGGGTTCAATGCAATATTTCTTATCATTGTGAATGTTAAAATGGACCAATCATAACGAAGAAGCTTATAAAAGCTACCTGCACTATTCAAGCTGGAATGAATATGCAGTAATTAACTAGAGACTATCAACGTCCACCCCCACCCCCCACCCCAAACACACACACACACACACACACTATCATTGAAAAACACAACTGTCTGAAACTGATTAGCAAATTGAACTGGAGAACAATATTGAATTACACAGTATCTCTTCAGATTCTCTGGCTGCTCTGTGGTTCTTCCATGATTAACAATGTAATTCACACATTTAATGTTCTTTTTCAGCATTATCCCGTTAGTAATTATCTAATAATAATAATAATCCTTGCATTTGATATAGCGCTTTTCACGTCTTCTCGATGTCTCAAAGCGCTTCACAGAATATACTGTAAAGTGAATTGACCGTATATGATCTGCTGTTAATAACACGCTTTGCCCCCGTTTTGTACCAGTACTGACCAGCGGTCAGAAGCTGTTATAAAATCTGGACCATAGATTCTACATTTCTTAAACAATATCAACTGCACAAAAGGGGAGATGAGAGGAGCCTGAGAACTGATGCAATCATGTAGTACCACAGCTCAGTGATGGCATGCGTGAGTAAGTTCCACCTGATGGATTTATCATCCAGTTTAATGCAGTGGTATAATCATTTTGTGGTGAATTATTGTTTCAATCAGTTTGAAGATTCCATGGCTCCAAATATTTGTACCAACATAATTTGATGTCAATCTAGCTCTGTCTGCCATCTTCGTGTGTGATGTATTTTGCATTTAGAAACTCAGGAATAATGAATGTGTTGAATTATATTGTAGGTCAGTGCAGGTAAGAGTGTTTTGTTGAAGCCTGGCACCTGAAGAGGAAGGTTAGCTCTATGAAGATCAAATCTTTCCACTATCACCTCTGTGTGAGTTATTGGTTTCCCATGGGTTTACAGCAACAACAAAATTACATTTATAGAGAGCCTTTCATGTCGGGAGGACATCTCAAAGCACTGATGGCTTACCATCAATTATTGGGTTTACCATCAATTATGCATTGTTCCTCATCATATACACTATAAAACATTCCATTACTTCAGTGATACAAGTTAAACAAAGAGCAACGATGGTTCGAATAAAATGAAAGAAAAAAATGGAGGTTGGAGGATGAAGGAAAACAGACACAAATTTTGATAGTATTAGTGCATCTGTGAATAATCAGCTGTTTTCAATGCCACTGTACTGGTAATCAGTTGTGTGCTTGCCTTGCTGATCCTATAATCTGTCTGGTGCTCAAGCAATCAGCTAACTCTCAGAAACACAATACAATACAAATTTACCTTTACATAGCGCCTTTCAAATCAAGAGGTAAAGTGCTTTGGCCTGTCACGTTTTCTCTCCTAGTGCAGGGGACTAGTGTTGAAATGAAAATATGCGAAACACTTGTTTGAATAAATTACACTGAGGTTCTACATGTTGGATGGCCTTATTCTGAATTGCAGGCGGGATTTAGATAATGAAAAAGAGAACTTGGAATTTTATAGTCTTTATCAAATTGAAACATCTCAAAAACCCTTTACAGTTAATCATTGTACTGAGCAAAATATTGAATAGTAATTATAATGTTTCCAATATGTTTTATATGTATATATTAATACCAGTATAAAAGCTAGCACTGCTGAGTTCTGTACCTCCTGCCTCTAACATCTTCAATGATAAAGTGCTCTGCTAGTTCTTCCTATATCAGGAATTAGTTTGGGTGGATGTTAAACATCCTGCGACATGTTTGAAAAGAGAATGGAGTTTCTCTAGGTGTCCTGACCCCAACTCCCCCAGATAAAATTGATCATTCACTTCATGGATGTTTGTGGGACATTGCTGTGCAAAATTTGGCAGCTCTGTTTACCTACACATACACAGTCAATACACTTTACAGTAAATCTTGTGAAGCACTTTGCAACATTTTGACAAAGTGATAAAGCGCTATAACAAATACAAGGATTACTTGGAATTATTATTATTACACAGAAACCTTCACATTTCTTGTGTACAATCGATAGCGTTCTCTTGACTTTTGTAACAAACTTAAAAAAAACACGTTTCATCCTTTAGCATGATTTTATTGAATTTGATTGTCACTAATTGCACACTAATTATACACAAGCTATTCTGAGCAAAGAAAGTTCTCTGGCAGTTGCTGCTCTCCTGGTGATGATTTAATGTGTTCATGGCTTTAAGGAGTGGTTTGTATGTGTGTTGGCGGTTGTGGTGGGGAGTAAATCCAGCTAAACAGCCTCATGCACTAAAGCTATTGGATTAAGCACAAACGGTGTTTAAACTCACAGCTGATATCCTTGATAACAATCTGCTTTGTAAAAACCATAATTGCGTATACCTATCACGCAAACCAAAGTAAGAGAATTAAATGCTGTAAAAGTTAAATATCCCTGGCCATTGATGCATGCTGTTTATTGGCTAAAACCGTATATCCATAGTCCATCGACAATGTTAATTTAAAGGTCAAAAGATTTGAATTCATAAGGGTCATTCGAATTGATGTAAATACCCAAGAGGATATTTTGTGTGCAAGATCGTCCTGAGAAGGAATTTAAAGGATTAACCAACCAATATTATTGGTTTGTAAAAATTATTGTTAGTAAAATGCCACAAGAGGTTGTGACCTCTGTTAGAGCAGTCAGGAACTAAGAGAGAATCTCACAAAAGCTCCTTATGGAACAGTGTTTTAATGCCTCAAATGTAGTCTGGGTTATGTAAAGGTTAACAGTGGGATTTGCCTTTCAGTTACTGTCCAATCCTGGATGCCAATAGCCAACACTGACACCTTTATGAATTTGATAATTTTTATTATGTTTCTTACATGGTATTTATCACTTTCCTGCAATTCAATCTTTTTTTCAGGTGTTCAGTGCTCTGAGACCCTATCTTGTGTGAAGAGAACTATATAAGTGCTGGTCGTCGTTGTTGAACAGGGCAAATATAACAGAACTGAGCAAACATAAATATAAAATATCAAGATGTAATCTCCACGCACTGTTTCAAAAATAAATAAGGTATTTGGGTGGCAACCAGATGCTTTGTCATTCATTTAGGGCCCTGGAGATAAAGACAATTTAGAAGGATAAGCCAAGCACAACTGTCCGTTACTCTTTATGGTAAATTGTCAAACTGGAATCTAACGCAAGAAAGTCAAACCTCTGTGCGTTGCAGACTTGCAACAGAAGCAGTTTTGAAACTGTTAAACATGTCCTGTGTTTAAAACCTTTCTTTATTCCTTTAGTACTGAATGAGCGTCCGAGGAAGTATCATGAAGTTATAAATATTGAATGATTTCCCATTACATCTACCGATAAAAATGAATGTATCCTTTCCCCCACTTTGTCTTGGCCAACTATTTATAACAGCCTCATATTTAATTGAAATAGTACACTTTGTCCAAGTGCACTGTAAATATAAGTGTATTATGTTGGACGTGTGAAGTGAGAGCTAACATTGGAAGATAACTTTTTTAATGGACTTTTGACATTAATTACTATCTAGCTCCTTGGTTCATATTTACATAGGGCCATTTACATAGTGATCTGTTTATTCTAATATATCTGTAAAAAAGATCCTCAGTGTATATCCGTATCCAGGAGGTTTTGGATAACTGTTAGTCTATCATAAAGTAGTGAGCTCACGATCAAAGCTCGGATCACCAGTTCATCTGAATTACTGGCCTAAGATTTCATGATTATTTCTCACGCCCATGATGCAGGAACAAAGTGACCAATTGCCAGCCAACCCTCGCCCCCATTCATCCCACTATCACTGCCCACACTTTCTGTCAATAAGTACAGTTCATTTATATTCTGCTGCAGTCCCAGAGGATTTTGCTTCATTCATAAAACAGTACTGTAGTAACAAACTCTTTTGTCATAGGCTTTACTTTCATTTGCTTGTAAAATAAATGATTGTACAAAATATCACAAAAGCAGCAAATACTGTTAAGAATTTTAAAACAATGTTAAAATGGAATTATCCTCCACTATTTCCCCCTCCCACCCCATTGTAAATGAATGGGGAAAAATCCCCCTCCTCATGGATCTGAGTTTAGTATCATATCCGTTTGGTGACAGATCAAATTTTTGGGCTACTGTATGCCACTGCTTTAAGCCAAACATCAAATAAATAGTATCCCATCTGGGGTGTGCTTCTTGCTGAGTGTGGAAGGTGATATTTGAAGGCAACACTAGTTATTTTCTCAACAGATTACTGCTGTATCTCTCCCTCAATCTCTCCACCTTGGCCCCCCTCCTTGCCCTCTTTAGATCACGACTGAAGTCCTTCGTCTTCGACGGTGCTTACAGTCATCTCCTTTTCCCCCCGGTTCGGTTAGGGGTCAGGCTCCGCCACTGTTAAGCCTAGACATGGTCCGCGTGAAGCTCACTAGGTAAATGCAAGTTGTTCTTATTGTATGACTCAGGACTCATGGCAAAGAATTCTGACTGCGGGTAAATTATTGATCGCACCAATTCATGCTGCAAGACAACAAAGGACATGAGCAGCAAAAAAGCAGTTTCTCTTTAAGTAAAGCATTATGTTGTCTGTGGTTAATATATTTTTCCTTTACAACCTCCATTTTCACATATCCTATTTGAGCTTACATGTGTTCCTGCAAATATCTTGCACCAAAGATTAAAATAATCTAATTGTATGTACAATTTTGATAAAACCAATATAAAAATATTGCCTCAATAAGTAGCAGTTGCTCATTAAAATATTTTCTATTAAAGATGTCAATTTTTTTAATATAACCTTCCATCTTTTTGGGTTTGTGTTTTGTATTTCTTTCTTTCCTGGAGGCTTGCTAGACAGGAACCGGAGATAAATTGAGACAAACCTTCAGCCAGTCATTGACAGTTGTGCTTAATCAGCTGAGTAGGAAATCTGAAACACTTTGTCTTCTTCAATGATTCATCTACTAAATCTAACTGTTGCTTATTGTTTGCTTTGCTCCCGTTTGCCACATAGGCCTGTAGCATTGGATTAAACCTGAAGCATTGCCATTTGGAACATCACCTGGTTGTGGCAGCATGAGAAACGTTGCGTGATTTTAAAATAAAAATTCTCAATCTGATTAATGGAGCTTCAGGAGCTGTAAAATCACATGACTGTTTAAGGTTATTAGTAGGAATACTGACCTCAAGTCACCCACACTCATGTGTAAGTAGCTCCACCTCACTCTCATACAGCCAGCTGTTGAAACCTAAAGTCGTTGCACCAGCTTTCACAAAAACACCAATCCCACAAATAGCTTGTTTGTTATGTGTTGAAATCTGATGGTAGATGAACTTTAAATAATAGCTTCCTCTGGACATTGTAGTATAGATTAGGCGAAATCTGTAATTTTAATTACAAATGCCCTATTCACCTATATCATCTTATTTAGTGACAAAATGGCATCCATCTTTTAAAAAAATGCCAAATAAAAGTAAAATATCATATATACAGTAAAGTATACATACAATAGAATGGAAAGGATAACCAGCAGTTGTTAGTTTCCATGTGCTCTGGATTTATATGCCTTTGTAACCCATTCCCATTAATTTATCCTAGTTTTAAAAATATTTTAGATTTCAGGGCAATAAAACAAAATGTGGATCTTGATTACACCCGATTCTTACTAATAATATAATAATTATAATCTTTGCATTTGATATGGTGCTTTATTAACGTCTTTGAGTTATCTCAAAGCGCTTCACAGAAAATACAGTAAAGTGAATTGACTGTATATTTTGTGGGCATAACTAACTAGAAGCATTTTGGAAACATTTTGTAGATTCAATCTATTGTGCTCCTTACGAAAAGTCCCTCTCATCAGTTTTTGGTGATCTGATAAAGAATACTTTCCTTTGTGCTACCAATGCGCCTTGATTAGTTCGATGTCACTCAACACCTTGGTGGCAAAAATGAGTCCAAGCACTTGAGTCACCATGAGGATAACAGCAATGGCACCAATGGAACCCATGTTACTGTTAAGCCAGCTAGTGAGGCGTGACATACACCCGCGGAGATAGATATAATTTTGGGCTGCCACTTCCTCCATATGTAAAGTGCCAAAGCCACACTGAGAGTTCCTAACGGTGCCATTTTCTTGGGGGTTGATGCAACAGGAAGCAGGCGCTCCACAAGCGTGGACACCGGGGGAGCTGCAGTTGAAGTACCTGCAAAAGAATACAACGCAAATCTCAGCAGCTTAGAAGTGTGATGCAGTTTCCCTTTTAAAAGGCGCAGTATTTTGTATTTTTCTTCAGCGCATGATCACTTCTAAATGGGGTTGTTTTTTTTTCCCCCCATGGAGGGAGTGGATGCGTGGGTGGGGGAAGGAAGAGTTGGGATCCTGTGCTCCTGTGAAATATGTCCCCTTGTGGCTAAGATGGGGACTGATATCATTGCATACCGTGGTTTAAATTTATTGGGACTTAAATTTATCAGATTCACTGGTGTCACCAAAGGTCCCTCTCGCACGTAACTGGCATCTCCACCACTCCACTACTTCAAATGCACACAAGGTTAAACGTCACTGGAGACAAACCATGTACGCTGCGACTTTCAAAAACTTGGCACTATGTTTCTGGGTGAGGGGAGAGGGAGGGTAAGATTTATTGTCCGCAAATCCCAGAGGTCAAATTCACTGCTTGAATTCAATGGTTCACGCCAATCAAATACCCAAAGTAACTTCACAGCACTTAACTTCTTCTGTTAAGAGGAAATGAGTTTGTGTTGTTTTGTAGCCTGAACTATACAACAACAACTTGCATTTATATAATACCCTTCACTCGGGTTTCGGAGCACTTCACAGCAATATTATTGGACCCCGAGATGGAAAGGGAGGGAAAGTGACCAAAGGCACAGTCGGAGAGGAAAGTCTACAGGTGTGAACTATAGTATCTAGAACGCAGAAGAGCTTTGTGTTGCACAACTCGCTGTGTTATCTACTCACATGTTGAGCTCCCAATCGTGGTAGGACTCGACGCCGCAGCACTTTAGTCCTTCCTGGATCTCGTTCATAATGAACCTGAGATCTGGATCATCCTGGTACCTCTTGACAGCCAGGATCATCCCATTCTCCAGGTATTGTCCTATCCTGTCTCTGAGGGCGTAGACCGCGATCCCACCCACCACCTCCACTGTCACAAAGATGATGATGCCGAGGGTGAAGAACTTCAGCAAACACTCGTTCTCCCTCAGAGCGCCAGTGCAACCCGAGAAAGACATGATGCTGACCACAAGCCCCAAAGACACGAACACCAGCATGGGGTCTGTGCTCAGGTTGTTGATGGTGTCCAGGACCAGAGACTCCTTGTCTATGAGTCCCCATACCCCGACCCCAAGCATCAGACAGCCCACGACTGTGAAGGCGAAGTTAAAGAGGAACATTACGTGCTTGATGCAACAGTTGACCTGGTTGACTTCATGATGATGATGATGATGATGATGCTGCTGCTGGTGTTGGTGGCAATGTCTGGGGTCGGTCCTCTGTTGGCGACTGTGCTCTGGCCTCAGGTCGCTGTCCATTTCAGCACCGTCCGCAGCACAGCGATTGCACATAACTGATAACATGGCATTATTGTGGAGTCTGTCTTCCTGCTGTGGGCAAAGGATGGGTGGGAAAGGGTGGGGTGGGGTGGGAAAGGGTGGGGTGGGGTGGGTGGGAAGGGAGGAAATTGGGATAAGTTAGAGGAAGGGGGGAGAGGGGGGGGAGGAAAAAGACAGAGTAATACTGTATTGAAATATCAGACTTCTTAGAGAGAAAGATGCACAGATGTTTATCACTGGGAGAGACAGAGGGAACAGACAGACTGAGAATGTGATGGTACAGGCAGAGCTATTCACCAGCCAACACTGCAGGCATCAGGCACTCCACATCTCTCTCTCTCTCTCTCTCTCTGTACTTCTCAAAATCTGAAAAAAAAACATTACCTGGATAAAAAGTGGTCGGTGAACGTGCAGCCTTGAGTCCTGTAAGGCACCACCAGAGAAACGCACTGAGCAATGAAGCATCTCCCAATTGGCATTGTTTTCCTGAATTCACAAAGCTACTGAACACCTGCGAGCAATATGCAATGTGTCCCACATTCACAAACTCTCTCTCTCTATCTCTCTCTATCTCTCTCACACACACACACATTCAATTCACACAGTCACATGTACAGACAGTGCCACTCACACCCACACACACACACTAAAAAAAATGCACATTTACACCCATTTGCTGGCTCTCACATACACTGTCTCTCACTGATCAGGATTCTCTCTCTCTCTCTCACACATACACACATGTCCACATTCACTCTCACTGTGTGCCACACCCCGTCAGGATCAGGATATTGCGTGGATTCATATTTAAATCATGCCTTTTAATTACCAAACATAACTTTGTGGCAGGAGTGCTCAATGTGTTATCACCCCCAGGTCAGTTTCAGAGTAAAATTGTGACCCCATCCAGTGGTCAAAAAATATACATAGTTCAATTGTAAATATTCACTTGTTGGTGAGTCTGAAACAAGAGGGTTTAAATAGAATTTAGCCAGTAGCGGATCGAAAGGGAGCTTAGATAGAAGCTTATTTACGCAGAGGGTGGTGAGAATCACTGCCAAAAAAGGAAATCGTGTGGAAATCACTGCCAAAAAGGCAGTGAGTTGGACCAGAAAGGATCAGCATATTTAGTTGGTTTGAACGGCCTGTTTCCTTGCCGCAATATTATTTTCTTGCTTCCATTCTGTGTATTATAACTCAAGTCTCCTCGCTCCACTACCCACTGACTGCAACTGATTCAGAACTCCGCCACCCATATTCTCACCCACACTAAACTCTGGTACTTCCATCACACCAGTCCTCACCAGGCTCCACTGGCTCCCTATCACAGAATGGATTGATTTCAAGATCCTCTCACTCGTCTACAAATCCCTTCACCGCCCTGGCAGCTCCCGACATTTCTAACTTGCTTTCTCCTTACTCTGCTACCCGCTGCCTCTGCTCGGCTGCCTCCTGCTTGACCCTCGTCTCTCTGCTCCACCATCAGTGGCCGCACTTTCAGCCACTATGCCTTGAAACTCTTTCCCCCAGTCCCTCCACCTTGCCCCTCCTTTAGATCATGACTGAAAACCTTCCTCTTCAGCTGTGCTTATAGGCATCTACTCCCCTCCCCACCGACTCAGCATCAGGCTCCGCGACTGTTAAAAGCTAAGAGACATTGCCCTGTGTACAGGGCGCTATATATGTGTAAGTTATTGTTGTTGTTGCATTCTGGCACATACTCATCCACCTGTGTGAAGGCACACATATTCATGCGTGGATATGCATCCACATGCCTGTGCATGTTTTATTCTGCTTAATTACAATAAATCCTGCGAAGCTCTTTGAGGCATCATCCCAACATGAAAGGCCTTATATCAAAGCAAGGATTTTTATTATCGATGCACACATGTGCATGCATGTGAAGAGGAAATCCAATTATAATGCCAGGGCTGATTGGAAATGTATTATTTCATTAAAACTATTTGTGTGTGGGTGTAGGTTGGTGGCTGGATAATGGAAGAGAATAACATTGCCCTAAAGCATTGAAACTAATGCTCTCACATTTAGTATATTAATTTTCAATGTTGCCTGGTGGACAGATCAGATCTCATCCCATGACTACTTTAGTGTGTGATTTACATCATTCAAAGCTGAAAGTTGTTTGATTCAGACAAGCTCAAAGATGATTTATTTTAGTTTACAAACTGCACACATACAAATCCAAATTCTTTATTCAATTCTTTCATCAGATCACAATTATAGAAATAATTTCTAATTTGCAGGATTTTAATTGAGTAGTGCAATTAACAGAGCGTAACATAAGATGACACCAGGGATGACTTAGAGGTGAGGGAGCTGTTGACTGAAGCAAGAACTTTATTATCTGCAATAAAATATTATTTAAAGAAACACAAAGAGATGCAGAAATTCTGATCAAAGATACATTTCTTATGCTTCTGAAAATCCTGTTTTTATTGAAAGAGAATGTCTATACTCAGCTCATTACTTGCAAAGTTTGTGTACCAAGCGACTTCTTTCATTTAGCTCTTTTGATTGATTTTAATGAGACGTAATGAAAGACTCGGATAGAGGGACAGTAATTGTGATAATTAAAAGCTTATTTTAAAAGTAATTCAAGCATATTTTCCTGTTTTACAAAGCAACGAGTCTCTTTCATGTTAATAATGACATAAAAACATTGCCTGTTCAAGTTCTGATTATGCTTTTTCAAGTTACCAATTATGATTATTTTTTACCTTGAATATCAGAGGCCTCAGTTCTTCCATTTCTTTCTTCTTAATGAAATTAAAACCTTGGAATATCTTCAAGAGACTCTTCCCCATGGTTTGAGTCAGATTGCAGTGAACTCGAATAAAGTTACACACAGAACAGGCAGTGGTGCTGCTTTGAACTTCGTGTTTCTCACTGAGCGGAACAAGAAAAATAAGAGAATTGTGTAAATCGCAGCCTTTGCCATGAATTCCTGACATTCCTCGATCATGTGAGAGTCACGGGTAAGGAATTAGAGAGGACCAACCAACCTCAATGTTTTCTGAAAGACAGTACCCCTTTTGTAGATACCGGTATTCTATGCTCCACTGAACAATGATTCAAAGGTTCATTTACAAGGCAGATTCTCTGAAGTGACCTGATTTCATAAATGTAAAGAAACTATCATTTTCAAGAAACTGCCATCCTACCTGTCAGGGCTTTGACACACAGGTCGAGGGTTTGCCTTTCAGCTCCAGGCCTCAATAATGAACCAAAATAGGCTGCGCAGTGCCTTGAATTCCTGCCTGGTTACAGCACACTTTTTTCTGGACCTTGAAAGGTTTAAGCATTGAACGAAAAGACGAGGATTCAAACCCACAACCTTCTGATCTCAGGTCCAATGAACACATAGCTTTTTTTTAAAAAAAGGGGGCATTGTGACATTATTGTACATGTGTTATCATAGAATCTTGATGAGTGTGAGATGTAATATAACCAACATATCATGTGAGGTTTCCTAATTTTGGTATGAAAAAGATGATCTGTAATAAACAATGGCTGCTCACTGGTGGAAAATGATTCGAATCAATTGTATAATTGTACTGATCAATGGTAAAAACAGCAAGGCCAGAAGAGCATGTTTAATGGAAAAGAAAAACTTCCCTGCTCCGGCAGAATTATTGGCCATTTTACACTCACATAAACAGGCAGATGGGATCTCAGTTTAACTCCTCATGCAAAAGTAAATGACTTTTACCAGCCCGCAATAGTCCATTACTGTACTGGAAGGTCGTTGAAAACCAATTAGGAGCTCCAGCCCTGATGTGGGGCATGAACCCACAAACATTTGACTCAGAGAGAATTTTTTTTACCAACTGAGCAAAATTGACACTGCTGGAAATTTCCACCGGTCCATATTTGTGGAATGAATAAACAGAGAAACTCAACAGCTAACGCAACTCTTCTATGAACCCATGGATAAAAACCTGAATGTCTAAATTCCACGTATCATGTGCAGATCAAATCAAGTGGCAAATGATGTCAAGGAATCTAATGGAGAAGGACAAATGAGAAGTTTAATTCTTCCTGAGTACTATTCACATGACTTGGTCATCAACCACAGCCTACAAATTATAGAAAGCCCATTGTTAGTAACTGATGAGTTCCCTTTAGCTGTGAATGGGAACAGCAGTAAGTTAAAGTGCTAGTTGCATCCAGAGCCTAACCTTAACCACAAACGGTGGTGAGAATATAATAATAATAATCCTAGCATTTAATGTAGCTCCTTACCATGTTGTTGAGACGTCTCAAAGCGCTTCCCAGAATATACTGTAAAGTGAATTGACTGTATATTTTGTGGGTGAAATGCAGCAGCCAATTGCGCATTAGGGTTAGGGTTGTGGATTGAAGTGACCAAATTAGATTTATTATTTTTTTCTATGAATTCAGACTGAGATGTGGAGGACATTGTGAATAACATTGTATGAATTCAAATCACTCGGGGTCATTTAAAAACTTTTTTTTTCATCTCTGGTTCCCGATAATGCCGCCATAGAATACACAAACTGGCCAAACAAGATGGAATTGTGGCATTAATAGAGAAAAAACACAAGAATCACATATTGTAGTAGATTTATATAACCGATTGCTCTATGATCCCACCTGCACTCTGTTGCTTGGAGTTTGCCAGAGGTCCTGTCCTCCAGATGAAGCGTTAAACTCCAGAACTTCACTCCTGGCAAAGTCCCTATGACACTATTCGAAAAGAGGAGTGAGTTTCTTCCTGAGCCTCAGCTGACAATGCACCATACGTTGGTGGTGATATTCATTGATATTCCCCTCAGAGACCCTGATGTGTGCAAATTTGTTATTGTGAGTACCTATAAATACACATTCGCTACACTTGACAGCAAAGCTCTGCCTATGAAGAGTTTTGAGACATTTCAAAGCTATCAGCACTTTCTCAAATGCAAGGATTGTTATTATTAATACCATGTATAATGTTCATGTTTTGTACATCTCTCGCTCGGTAATGTTTA